TTTGAGAAACACTTTGAGAAGTCAAGACAGGGGCCTGCTCAACACAGTTCTGACGACACCCAAAGCACTGTCTCCCGTTTTTCTGTCCTTGCCAGTGACACAATGGTGGCACACTTGTGTTATGGAGCTCTTAGACTCACACACATATGTAGTACAAGAGTCTGTTTTCAGTTCACTTGGACCAATGCGGTTGAACTCTTTCTTACTGAAATGCTGTGCAGGGCCCAGCTCCATAGCCTAGCAGCTAAAGTCCACTCCTTCCATGCGCCAGAATCCACATGGGCACCGGTTCCTGTCCTGGCTGCTCTACTTCCTATCCAGCTCCCTGCTTGTGGCCTAGGAAAGCAGTCAAGGACGGCCCAAAGCCTTGGGACCCTGCACCCATGTGGGAGACCTGGAAGAAGCTCCTGGCTTCAGATTGGCTTAGCTCCGGCCATTGCGGCCACTTGGGGAGTGAATCAGCAAATGGAATAGCTTTCTCTCTATTCCAATTTAAAAATAATAAGTAAGTAAGTAAAGCTGCGTTGCAAGCCGATGTAACAATGCACTAGCGCTTAATAAATGTGATGAGTTGTTTTTGTGCTGGCCCTCTTCTTCAAGGTCTGTTTTGGAGACCAGCGTTGCGGCGCAGACAAGCGGGCATTGTGGCTGCTCCACGTCCTATCCGGCCCCTGCAGACGCCCCTCGGAAAGCAAGAGACGCTGGTTTAAACGACTGGGCTGTTGTCACCCACATGAGACAGACGGCGTTCCAAATTTCTGGCTTCAGCCTGGCCCAGCTCTGGCCACTGTGACTATCTGAGGAGTAAACCAGTGCACACAACACCTCTTTCTCACTTGCTCTCTCTCCTTTCTCACTTGCTCTCTCTCCTTATTCACTTGGCTTTTCAAATAAAAAACTGAAAGGAAAGAAAATTCAACAGCGCTGTTTCTCAGTGCCAGGACGAAAACTGCTGGATATATCTGCGACCATCATTTCCAGTGAAACAAAGAGTTGTTACGAATTGAAAAGTAACAAATTTTTAAATCAAATCTAGAACCTCACATACCTGTTGATGGAAATGTAAACTCAAACAGTCTTCATACAGTTAAAAATAGACCTCTATTGAACCACCGAGCAGCTGCACTCGGGAGTCACATCCAAGGCGCACACAAAGGCTTACGCACCAGCATTTATGGACGGGTGATTCACAGCAGCCCCATGTCCGCCCTCTCCCGGAAGGAGAAGCACAATATGGCATGTCAGTGTAATGAAACATTATTCAGTAATAAGAGAAAATTTTAAAACATGTATGGGCCTTAAGAACATTACACAGAATGAAAAGAGGCCATCACAAAAGGCCACACAGTGTGTAACCCTCTGGACCAGCACCATCCACAAATGCAGAGGAGCCAAGAGCGGCCCAGTGAGTGCCCAGGGCTGACAAGGTGACAGGGACGGGCGAAAGGGCACAGCCTGTGTGGAGTGAGCAAGGTTTTGGTTGCCTCTAACTGAATATGATGAAAGCTACTCGATTTTTTGTATGGTTGTGAAATGTAACTCAATAATGCCATTATTAAAAAAAATCTGTTCTGTGACAAGAGGAATTGAGAATCGGCAAACCTATTCTATGAAGTTTCTGGTCCACAGTAAAAGCTTTGGAAGTGCAGCTTTAACTTGGTTGTAACTGGAAGCTGCTTGCACACCCGCACTGTGAGTGAGGACAACGCCTCACAACATCAGATATTGCAGGCACGGTGCCATGGGGCAGGAAGCCATCGGAATCAGCCTCCGAGTCTAGGTTCTCTTTCACTACTGCACCTTACCAGGTCTTGTCACTTCACTAAGGCATAGCTGAAGCCTCACTGAGCACTGTGACCATTCCAGGTGTGTGTGGACAAGAACAGGGCACGGGCCCTGCTCTTATGGGTTTTACAATCTAATTTTTCTTTAAAGATTTCTTTTTATTGGGAAGGTGGATATACAGAGAGGAGGAGAGACAGACAGGAAGATCTTCTGTCCGATGATTCACTCCCCAAGTGACCGCAATGGCTGGAGTTGAGTCAATCCAAAGCAGAAGCCAGGAGCTCCTCTGGGTCTCCCATGCAGGAGCAGGGTCCCAAGGCTTTGGGCCGTCTTCAACTGTTTTCCCAGGCCACAGGCAGGGAGCAGGGCCGCCGGGATTAGAACTGGTGCCCACATTAGATCCTGGGCATGCAAGGGAAGGACTGCAACCACTATGTTATTGCGCTGGGCCCCACCACAGCGTGAACATTAAGTAAATATCAGATTTTAAAAATGATTTTGGACCCGACGTGATAGCGTAGTGGTTAAAGTCCTTGCCTTGCACGCCCAGGATCCCATATGGTTGCTGGTTCTAATCCCGGCGGCCCTGCTTCCCATTCAGCTCCCTGCTTGTGGCCTGGGAGGGCAGTTGACGACAGCCCAAAGCCTTGGCACCCTGCACCCGTGTGGGAGACCTGGAAGAGTTCCTGGGTTTTGATTGGCTCAGCTCCAGCCACTGCGACCGGTTGGGGAGTGAACCATCAAACGTAAGATCTTCCTCTCTGTCTCTCCTCCTCTCTGTACATCTGACTTTCCACAAAAATATAAAGCTTTCTTTCTTTTTTTTTTTTTTTTTAAAAAAAAGGTTTTAAAAGCAGGGTGCTGTACAAAGGGAGGGAACGCTTTTAGATGGAGTAGCTGGAAGGGAGGCTATTCTGAGGAAGTGATGCTGGAGGGAAGGCAAGAAACACACAGAGAACTGCAGACAGAGGAAGTATTTCGGGAATGGCCAAGCCAGAAGCGTCCAACCTTCCTGTAACCCCTGCTCCACAAGTTGACACAAGGACACCGTGTGGTGACTTGCAGTTGTGCCCTGGGCCACTGAAGGATATTCCTGTAAAGTGATGTCTCCCCCCCGCCCCGCGTGTCTCTCAACAACTGTTACCTTTAGCACTGATTCTTGTGCCCATCGTGCTGGTAGGCACTGCACTCCAGGACAGACCAGACGTGCAATCCACAGCCCTTAAGGTAGGAAATAATCTAGAAGCACAGCACATGTAGGTAGAAACATACACAAGGCAGAAAGTAAAAACAGGCAGCTACACAATGTAGGGTCTGCAGAGACTGCTCCCAGCTGGAGACCCAGGGAGCCTCGTGAGCGGCTCATTTACCTGAAACTGTCTTAAAACATTTTCAGCTCAAGGGAAGGAGGCCTGATGCTCTGTGGTAATTCAGAACAGTATGAGGCACTTCAAAAATTCATGAGAAATACAATTAAAATCAAGTTTATTTAGGCGCAAAAGTTTTGAAAGCCAAGCATATGCCCACAACATGCACTCTCCAGGAATTTCCTCTAGAGCTCCCGTGTTCTGTCAAGTTGCCCAATCCACTTGGTGCCTCACTGTGCAGAGATGAGCAGTCCCAGGAGGAGGCCGTGACGTCAAGCCAAGCTCTGTAAAGGGGAGGAGCTGAGGCTTCCGCTCTACGCTTTTAATTTAAGCTCAAAACACATCTTCCTGGGACTTGGGACTTGTGCTCAGATTCTCTGGGGAGAGTCAGGGCCACAGGAGATGAGAAATGATGTAAATTCATTTGGAGAATCAAATGGGAAAGCCATCAAAAACACAACCTTCAATACAGGCAATTTAGTACAGGTAGTTTTTAAAAAGTGGACAATGCTTGTTGCTATACCACTACAGAAAACTAGAATGTCATCAAATGAAGCTGACTCCCTTGATGCCGCTGGCTGCCCTGCTCTCCCACCAGCACAGCAATGCTGGCCTTGGCATTGATGCCGCTGGCTGCCCTGCTCTCCCATCAGCACAGCAACGCCAGCTTTCGCATTTTAACACAAGCCTTCTCAAAAACCTTATACGGGGGCCCGGCGCGGTGGCGCAAGTGGCTAAGTCCTCGCCTAGCACGCCCGGGATCCCATATGGGCGCCGGTTCTAATCCCGGCAGCCCCGCTTCCCTTCCAGCTCCCTGCCTGTGGCCTGGGAAAGCAGTCGAGGACGGCCCAAAGCTTTGGGACCCTGCACCCGCGCGGGAGACCCGGAAGAGGCTCCTGGCTTCGGATCGGCATAGTATCGGCCCGTTGCGCTCACTTGGGGAGTGAATCATCGGACGGAAGATCTTCCTCTCTGTCTCTCCTCTCTGTATATCCGCCTTTCCAATGAAAAAATAATAAAAATAAATCTTTAAAAAAAAAAAACCTTATACGGTTTCCTCCCTCTAAATTCAGCTGCCCAGCGATCTTTGAAATCCTGTGGAAACATTTACTTTTAACATGGACCCTGTCAGAAAATTTGTACCTTAGAGTTAAGAGGTAGGAACAGCAAAATTCAGCCATGCTGTAAATTTACATGACAGGCTTTAATTTCTTCCACTAGTGGCACTGCAAAAACAAATACCACTGCACAAGCACAAGCACACTACATCTCCGTCCTTAAAGTTTTTAAGGTTTATTTGAGACATACTTTACAGTATGCTCACGGGGGACTTAACTATGTCCCTAAGGACTCTCTTTCTCTTGCCTTTGATGTAGCCCAACAAAGCTACAGTTTTGAAATAAATGTGATCACCTTGTTCAGACAGACTGAGAAAGGAAGGAAGGGATGAGTGGTTGATTTAGCACTGAAGGCAAGCCTGAGTTCTTCTCAGCCTGGTCAGGCTTTGGAACAGAAAACAGACACCTGCCAACCTCTGACGGCATCGTCCTGAGAGTGGTCCAGACCTGAATGCTTACACACTAACCAGTGTATACACAGCGCACACATAGAATGTTCCGTCTGTATACTGTCATACACTTCCAGTTCTGAAGCTCACAGATTTATTTTAAACTTCAGTGCTAATGTTCATACTTAAAATAACTTATCGCTGGTAAGTTTGCAACCCAGTCCCTCAAAATCCCTTCCCATTCCCAACAGAATACATGGAATTAGAGAGGAAACGCCAAACAGCATTTTTAAAGTCAACGTCTCAACAACTCCCAACAAACATTCCATGGCCAAACTCACCATAGAGAGCTGTCCAAGTCTGATTAATTACATCTAGACACACAGTTCCTGACCTGAAACAGATGGAAACAACAGCATTTTTAAAAATCAGAAAGTTATTTAGCTACATGTTTGGCAACTATTCATCAAGAGAAACAGTCTTAGTAGCTAACACTCGACGGGGAGCAGGAGTGCATTCTTGCAGGGCCTGGAGGTCTCCTCCAGACATGGCCAGTGGGATTCTGGGAGGAGCAGCCACTCCGCAGGGGAGAGAGCAGGCCAACCCGGGGGCCGGGCAGGCCGCGACCCTCTGAACACGACTGCAGGACACAGGACACCATCTCATGGGTTCGTGCTTCTCCTGCCTCAGGCCAACCTCAGACAAACCTACACTGAGAGAATCTAGATTCTTTAAAACTGTCAATGTTCTAGAAGAGGAAGGCAGGTCTAAGAACTAAGTTAGTTCAAAGAAACATGATCATCAAATGTAATACATGATTCTGGAGTGGACCCTTTGCTGAATGGAGAAGCAAAGTGCTGGCACAGTTTTGGTGTGTGGCAGAGCAGACTCAGCGTGCTCATGCTCACGTTAGGCCCCAGATCTGAGCACTGCAATGTGAGCACACGAAAGGACATCCTTGTACAAAATCCGTGTAACAGAAGGCAGGGGCGTGAGCCATTATAAAGCATACTCCAATGTGCTCAGAAATCCTCACATGTGGAAAAGGCACAACTGAGTGCCACGACGCCATGACAAGTAAAAACACCAGCTGAAATAACCGTGTATTTTAAAAGCACCGGCGGTACAAAACACGACGAGACTGCGCTGGGAAAGCAGGGCACCCACTGCAGTTATTAGTAATGAAAAGGCAATCTAACCTGCCTTCCTCTCAGGAACTGAGAAATATTTCAAGTACTGAAAATAGAAAATCAGTGTGTTGAAAACAGATTTTGAACCGCATTTATTCAGGGAAGTTTTCAATGTTAACCGGAAAATGAGGACAAGGAGGGAAGGACCCAGCCAGGCCCGCCACACAGGATCTGAAGTCTGTGGTTCAGAAGGTAACAGTGCTAGGACTCCAGCATTTAAGTGACCATTCATACAAAATAACTTCCCAATAAAATACAAAAAGATCATTAAAAAAAAAAAAACTGAGAGGAACTTGAATCGAAAGTAGTTGCTGCTAAAATGTAAACATTTTTAAATAGTTACTTACGCTTCATCAATGTTGGGGTGGAAAATTTTATTCATGAATCCTGTAAAAAGAGATGTTAATTAGCAGCAAAAAGTATGCAAAGAGTAGCTAAAGTACTTCATTGTGGCAAATGGCGCTCAGTTCACTGACGTGACTGTACTCCTGTGACAGCTTCCGCTGAGAGCCGGGCCCCCAGGACAACGTGTGACAGCACACGGCTTACAGCCAGTGTCACATTAAGGCCACGCAGCCCCACGCAGCCCCACACGAGTCCCACGCCAGCCCCACGCAGCCCCACGCTGCTGTGGACTTTACTGCTATCACTGGCCACACCTAGTGCGGAACATGAATGAAGCTGTTGAAATGTTAAAGGATTTCATGACAACAGTGGCCAAAATATTTCCTTTAAGTACAGGCTACTCATGCAAAGAAACCCAGTTTTGATTAAAATTGAGGCGACCAGGAAATGAGGCGAGGAGCTTCAAAAACAAATCACTTACATTTTACTCAACAAAAAGTACAGAACTAAACACACTGTGGTTTAAATTGTCAGGAGAAACGAGCCCCCCGCGTCTTCAGCATCAGGAATTCGGTCTACACGAGGACGCCGCGTCACAGCAGGTCCTCTGTGGGAGCTGTCACTCGGCCAGCTGCGTCACTTCCTTAGGACTCTACTTCATGTCATCCTCAATGAATTCCTAAGGCAACTCTCCCCACCGCGCTGGCCCCGGCCCTCGCGCACTCAGGGTGCAGAGGCGGCAGCAGGCTCTTGGGGAGGTCGCTGAGCGGGAGGAGCAGACTGCACACGCAGGCCGCCGGCGGGCGGGGCTCACACCAGAGGGCAGGGGAGACGCGCACTGCAGCAGGAACTCCAGAGCAGCCGTGACAGGACACCTCAGCTACCCCAAGCTCTGACTGCTCAAGCCAGTCCCAACTGACCACATGCCTACTGTTTGTGAAGCCTGTGAGTTGCTCCAACGACTCTCCCGCAAACAGAAAAGCCTGGTGTTCGAGATCAATTTTTCATTCAGAAAACTAAGGGTGTTTCAAAGTCTAGATTTAGGGGTATGAATAAGCCGATGGAGACACTGATGATGCCTTGCTGTTGAGCTCAGCAGTCAGGATGCCAGCTGGAACACTCCCATCGCCCACATCTGAGCGCCTGGGTTTGAGTCCTGCTCCAGCTTCCGGCTGACGGGTACCACGGGAGGTGGCCGGTAATGGCCCCAGTGTTTAGTCCCCTTGTGCCCGTCACGGCAGACTGGCACTGAACGCCCAGTTTCTGGCTTCAGCTCAGCGCACGCGCAGCTGTCACAGTGGCCTGCAGGGGGCACCAGCAGAGGGCAGCTCACTCTGTTTATGTGCCTCAACAAAGAGCAGGGAAAAAAACTACTTAACCCTAGGCACATCAAGGAGAGCAGTCAGGATATTTGTAGCAACACTGTTTATAAAAGAACCAAATTAAACACTATCAATCAGATCAGATAGTATGCAGCATACTGGTAATGAACTTGATTGGTATTATCAACGCGAATAGATTCAAGTGGGATTAGGAAACATAGCTGTAGAAAAGTTGTCATTACAATGTACTAAAACAAAGCAATCCTGTCTGTTCTCAGTGATAATGAATGCCCAGAGGAACAATGTACTGGGTCAGCTGGAGGACAGGGTCCTGGTGACCAAACAGGAAATGGTTTAAAATGACTTATCTAAGATTGTATTGCTTAAAAAAAAAAGACCAATTGACCTGTTTTTTGCGTACACACAGAGCTCTGTACAAATCTTAGAGTGCGGAATTATTAGTGGTGAGGGTACTTCCCCTCTACCTCACTACCACCCAGGGACCAGACCACAGCGACGGCAGGACGGAGGGACTGGGCAGGGCCAAGTTCTGCAAGCAACTTGCCCATAATTTTCACTTAAAACTTTCCGAAGTTTCTACTGTGCACCATTTAATCCTCTCATAAGATGACGCTCAGGTTACAAATCAGGTTCAAATTGGCAGATACGGGTCCGGTGGGGTAGCCTAGCGGCTAAAGTCCTTGCCTTGAGTGAACCGCGATCCTATATGGACGACGGTTCTAATTCCGGCAGCTCCACTTCCCATCCAGCTCCCTGCTTGTGGCCTGAGAAAGCCATGGAGCATGGCCCAAAGCCTTGGGACCCTGCATCCACTCCTGGCTCCTGGCTTCAGATCAACTTAGTTCTGCCTTTGTGTCCACTTGGGAAGTAAAATCAATGGAAGAAAGATCTACCTCTCCTCTCTGAACATCTGACTTTCCAACAAAAATAAAAAATATAAATCTTTTTTTAAAAATCAGCAGATACGGGAACACACTGCCACACCCTGCAAGGGAACTTCTTGCTGAGTGGGAGTAATGAGCCACTCATGGGACTTAATGTGTTCTTGATGCTTCAAACGCCGCCTCTGCTGGACTTCCAATGTCAGGATACACTGAGAGCGCGGAGTGACGGGCTTACGACTGCAGGTAACAATACAGGCGAAGTGGGTAAGGGGAATCCCAGAGCTTACGGAATTGCACCAAAAAAAGCTGCTTCAGGCCTGGCAGCGTGGCCTAGTGGCTAAAGTCCTCACCTTGAATGCTCCGGGATCCCATATGGGCACGGTTCTAATCCCGGCAGCTCCACTTCCCATCCAGCTCCCTGCTTACGGCCTGGGAAAGCAGTCGAGGACGGCCCAAAGCCTTGCGACCCTGCACCCGTGTGGGAGACCTGGAAGAAGTTCCTGGATGCTAGCTTCGGATCGGTATAGCATCGGCCGTTGCAGTCACTTGGGGAGTGAATCATTGGACGGAAGATCTTCCTGTCTGTCTCTCCTCCTCTCTGTATATCTGACTTTCCAATAAATAAATAAAACTTTAAAAAAAAAAAAAAGCTGTTTCGTTCAAATACAGCGGCCCCTCGGGAACAGACACGATGCCACAGGCTTCATCTGAGCGCCTGGGTTCAAGTTCCAGCCCTGGCTCCAGGTTCTACCTTCCTGCTGACGTAGCGCCTAAGAGGCAGCAGGGATGGCTGAAGCTGTCGGAGCCCTCCTGGTTCTGCCCAGGGTCAGTCTCAGCCACTGTAAACACAAGGAGTGACTCAGCAGATGGCAACCTCCGAAAACCCAGCAGAGCCATGTCTACAGGGGAAGCTCCCAAGCTGGGCCTGTGCAGTGCGCCACAGTAAGCTGCCACGGGTTTGCAGGGTGGGTCCTGACTTTTCTATTTCCTTTACGGCTCCTAGCTCGGCTGTTCTACTTCCCTATACTGCTCCCTATTCATAACAGGCTGGAAGGCAGCAGACATGGCCCAAGTACTTGGGTCCCAGATACTACATGCAGGACCCAGACGGGGTTCTTAGCTCCTGGATTTGGCCCAGTCATCGCGGCCACGTGGGAAGTGAACCAGTGGATGGAAGAACTCTGTCTTCCCTGCTCCCTTTGACTTTCAAATGAACTTTAAAAAAAAGAGTAAGAAAACAAAGATTCTCACTGCTGGCTACAGTTAAGAATTCCCCTGGAGAACTTTCGAGAAAGCAGAGTATATCCTCTGTTTGAACGTGGGTGTGTTATGAGGAGGAAAAAACAAGATGGTTGGGCCCGGCGTGATAGCCTTGCAGCACCTCAGAGCTGGGGAGGAGGAGAATGGCGGATCTCCAGCTGGTGGGATTCTGCTCCAACGTCCTGACGCCACAGGGCACCTCAAAGTCTAAGTCATGAGAAGAGCTAAGGCGAAGAGAGGTTCAAACGTTATCAAACTCTGAAAGGTTAGGAGCCTCGTGCATGTATGCATGGTGAGCACACTTGCAATCAATATAGTTTCCACACTGTTTTCAATTCAGTCTAGATTTGGCTTGGTTGAGTCCAGGAGTATAACAGAGAGGGCCATGACCTGGTAAACATATGCTTTAGTAATTCAATGGGCTGAGCCCAGTCCCCAGAGCCTCTGCGAAGAATAAAATACCATCCGAGCACTGGGACAGAAGGTCCTCGGGAGGGGAGCGGGGTCTAGCTCAGACTCTGCCATCCGCTGCAGGCGCTAGCAAACCCCTCACTTCAGTGCATGTCTTTCTTCACCAGTGAAGAAAATATGAGAGGCAAAATCTTTGTGTTGGAAAACATTTACTTATTTATCAGAAAGGCAGAGTGATACAGAAAAGGGAGACAGATTTTCTAGTAGGCTAACTGTACAAAAGGCCAGGACTGTGCCAGGAACCCACTTACGTGGGCCACCTTCTCCTGCATTCGTGGAAGGTGTATTAGCTTGAACCCACACTCCACCATGGCATGCTGGCATCGCAAGCAGCAGCCAAACTTGCCAGACCACAGTGCTGGTCCTCCCCTGCCCCTTTTATTTCTAAGGATCTACCAGACTGAAAAATCTAGGATTTAACAACAACAGCCAAAGCTCTGGGAACAGGGGACTTAAGGGGACATACCCAATGGCTAAAAAAGCTCTTGCAGAAAATTAATTTTGTAAGGCAGCATTTTTAGGGATAGAAACAGCCTGGAAAGTATAAAGCTAACACATGTCGGATGCCACGGAGGACCACAGAAGCTGCCGACTATTCCAGAGCAGGCAAGGGGAGGCAGAACCAGCCCTTGCAGGAACAAGCACTGCTAGTCCAATTCTACCAAAAATACTTTCAAAAGAATTTCGTCCAATATCAGGTTTTCTGTTTGTTTTTACTTGTTAGAAGAAAAAGAACCTATCTCCCTGACAAGTGTTTCGGTAAAGCAAAGGGTGAGGTTTCTGGCAAAGGTGTTCCATGCTGGATAAGGATACCAATGGTGGAACTTGTGCACGAGGAAGGGAGGTGGCCAGGACACAGGGAGGCAGTGTTCCCAGGACCTTGTCTGTTCGCCCTGGCACACTCTCCTTCCTCTTGGCAATGCTGTCACCCTGCTAATGAGTGTGGCTGCAGTTAGAGAATTTTCCCAACACCTGCTTCCACTCAACCAGGAACTACTTTGAAGATATTTAAAGTGAACATATTTTGAAAACCGCTATTATGGAAACAAGAAAGAACAGCAAGTCATCTTAGGTCTACATGATTTTTAGGTTTTACTCAACACTAGACATTTTGTAATGATAAATTTCAGTGATTCGACTGAACTCTTACTATTTTGGGTAGGTATTCTGGCACAGATCTACATCTGTGGTTAAAAAAAAAAAAGGAGGTGGAGGGAAGCAGGAATAAGCATCTAGGTAAAGGCCAGCATCCCTGCTGGACAAAGAAACCAGGAACTTTAAAACTCTGGAGATGGAATCTGAATCATGTTTAACAGATGCATGCTCAGGCTTGCACCCTTCCAGTACCCAGCCGCTCTGGGACAGCAACTCTTGACCCACTGGTTCACAGAGCACACACAACACTGGCTTTCCCCTCAGCCTTTCAACTACATGAAAATTTTAAAATGTCCAAATAGGAAGAAGTGGCCAAAGAGAATCAGTCAGCTGGGGAGAGGGAACCACAAACTCCATCAAGAGTCCTCTGAATGAGCGACCTTCCATGCTGCTGCCCAGGGTGGAGCTAGGGGAAGGGCTGTCACCCCAAATGCAGGTGTTTAAGGTATATGTACTTGGCTCAACATCTCACAGCCTGTTTTTACCATTCATAACTCAATTCAGGGCCCTAGCAGCAATGGCAGCAATGATGCAATTTCTAATTCTACTATCCAGAAAATATTTTACTTTCTCAATTACTAGGCTTAGAAACATCAAAAAAATGTACCAGTTTGTTCTTTAAATAAACACTAAGAGCTCCCCAGTCCAAGGAATTACAGACGCACTGTAGCGTTTCTACACCATAGAACTCTGAAGCTCACGAGCGGCTCAGGGTTGGGAGGAGGTGCTGGTGCTCAGTGGGACGTGGCCAGGGACTGCCCTACAGCCGTGTGCTCCTGACCACACACACAGATGTGGGGCCTGGAATCACTGCAGACAACTCCACTTTGCTCCACTTTAAAACCAAGCCTTTGTTCAGAGTAGGGATGGATGACAAGTAGTCTAACTTGCATTCTGAAGCTGAGCACGAGGCCTGTTTATACCAGCCAAAGACAAGCAGTGTATTCCAATGACACTTACACTTAATACTTTGAAGCTGTGTATAAACTGAAGAGAAAAACACTGGCTTAACTAGAGTAATCAGAACGTTTTAAAGTATCAATCTTCAGTTAGCTGTTATCTTTATAGTATCTGACATTAAAATATTTCAATTATCACTGAGTGCCTCGGTGGTTGGCCAAGGTCACCAGCTGAGGCAGGAGAAAGATGGAGGTGAGCACAGCGCACCTCTCCTCCAGCTCCACTGAGGCATCTACTCCTTTGTCTGCTCTTCAGAGGCTAAGGAGACTGCAAGTGGAGAGTAAGGACCACTTCATCCCTGTGTACCCAGAGCTGCTGTGACAAAACTGATACTATTAGATTCATGACAAGAAACCCAAGATAAATCCCTTATTTTGCTGCTAACAATTGGAATGGGCAGTGGGCCTCAAAGTTAGTTTCATCTAACACCAAAAGAAAATCTAGAGACTCTGTTATTTTAATCATGCAAAGGGTGTTGTATTTAATTATCTTTGATCACACTATGGAATTCCTCCAAATCACAAAAGACAGTAGTCCCCATTTTTGGAATTAATTAATTCCCACAGATAAGTCACATACCGATAGATGGCGACTTGAAAGGGTATTTATCAGGCAGATCCACTCTGACTTTCCACACTCCGCCTTCATAGGGGGCTGAAATCAGAGCAACAGTGTTCAACTTCAGCTTAGATAATCTTCCAAACGATTCCCTTCAAGAGTCGGGGCTCTACTCCGCCCAACAATACCCACCATCTGGATTAAGACACTTTTCTTTTAGAAGAGAAGCCAACATTCATTCTCTCCCCTAAACTGACCCAACTGTCCAATGTTAAAACACGATTCAATCACTTGGGAATTATTAGCCTTGCTCCTTTCTCTTCTGTAAAAACAAAACCAAGAAAGGAAAACAAGCCTTCAAGTGCCTTCCCCCAATCAAAACACCAACAGGGCTCCCGACCACCCACCGACCACCTGGCTAACACTGTCACATCAAGACGTTTCCGTTTGTCACTCCAGGCCTTCTCACTGTGCTGCAGCCCCATCACATCTAGTCTGCCAACACTCTGCACGCCGTCTTCCAGTTCATATTCCCACTGCCCAGTAACGAACAAAGACGATGGTGGCAAGAAAACACACACCGGTACGTTTACTTACTTCCTTGTGGTCCATAAAACTTCACTACGAACTCGTTGAGTCCTCCCAGGATGGTAACCTCGTGTTTACTCTCAATGCTAAGGCGGACAGTAAAGGAAATTACACCGGTTTTTACAGTACTGGGAAGAAAACTGATGATGTCCCCAAAATATACCATTTACAGTGACCAAAATTTGACAGTTATCAAATACAAAAGATATAACAATTCCATAGTTTAAGAGGCAATAAAAGTAAAAACTCTTAAGCAGATGAATAAGCTTTGGATTCTGAGGGTCTGGTGTTCAAATTCTACAACTGCCACTTACTAGATCTGAGTGTAGAAGAAAAAACATACTGCAAGTGGTGGCCGTTCCGGCTACACCACAGTGTTGGCCCCATAAAGGAAATGTCAAAATCATCTTTATAGAGGGAAAATATAAAATTCTGAAAGCTTTAAAATTGTATTTTGTTCTCTCCAAACCTGTGTCCTGTAGGTCACAAGGACTCAATGAAGCAGGACGCATTTTTGGCCAAGTCCTTACTCAGCCAGTCTTGACTAGTACACACAGAAAACATCATTCAGTACAGGCTGAATAATCTTTTTTTTAAAAAAAAGATTTATTTATGGGCCCGGCACGATGGCACAATGGTTAAGGTCCTCACCTTGCACGCCCGGGATCCCATATGGGCGCCGGTTCTATCCCGGCAGCCCCGCTTCCCTTCCAGCTCCTTGCCTGTGGCCCGGGAAAGCAGTCAAGGACGGCCCAAAGCTTTGGGACCCTGCACCCGCGTGGGAGACCCAGAAGAGGCTCCTGGATCCTGGCTTCGGATCGGCATAGCATCGGCCGTTGTGCTCACTTGAGGAGTGAATCATCGGATGGAAGATCTTCCTCTCTGTCTCTCCTCTCTGTATATCGCCTTTCCAATAAAAACATAATAAAAATAAATCTTTAAAAAAAAGATTTATTTATTTTTAGTGGAAAGTCAGATTTACAGAGGAAAGGAAGATCTGTCCAATGATTCACTCCCCACATGGCTACAATGGCTGGAGCCGAGCCAATCTAAAGCCAGGAGCCTTTTCTGGGTCTCCCAAGGCTTTGGGCCGTTCTCCAATGCTTTCCCAGGCCACATGCAGGGAGCGGGAAGGGAAATGCAGCAGCTAGGGTAACAACCAGCGCCCACATGGGACCCCGGCACAGGCAAGGGAAGCACGTTAGCCACTAGGCTACCATGCCAGGCCCAGCTGTTCCACTTCTCATCCAGCTCCCTGTGGATACACTTTGGAAAGCAGCACAACATGGTCCATCCTTGGGGATGCTCGCTCCCGGCTTCAGCCTGGCTGGTGCAGCAACTTGGAGAGCAAACTAGGAGATGGAAAATCTCTCTCCTTCTCTTTGTAATCTTTCAATTAATATTTTAAATACTCATCAATAGTTACATGAAAGCATAAAGCAACAGACAATAATGATGACCAAGGAAGACTGCAAGAAAATCCTCAATGTGGTGTCCTTGAAAAATCTCAATATTGCTGTGTTCCAGGATCACTAGGGATAGGAATTCAAGCAAAAGGAGCACCTCAAATTTAGAAACAGTCCACTTAAAGTCTGAATTCTAGGTTTTCTATCATTATTTCTGAATATTAACATTCCAGAAGAGCTGATGCAATGGCTCAATTGGAAAATACTTCACTTGCAAGCGCCAAAATCCCACATGGATGCTGATTCATGTCCCAGATGCTCCACTTCTGCTCCAACTCTCTGCTTGTGACCTGAACAACTCCTTGCACCCTCGTGGAACTGCTGGACAAGCTCCTGGCTTCAGATCAGCTCAGGTGTGGCCGATTCAGCTCCTTGGGGAATGAACTACCCAAAAGAAGATCTTCCTGTCTCCTCTTTGCACATCTGCCTTTCCAATGAAAATAAATGTTCAAAAAAATTCCAGAAGAGAATATGAAAACATTTAGAATCACACGCTTCAGGGGGGCAGGTGTTCCAGGCAGCAGTTAAGACACTGCTTGTGGCATATGCAAGTGCCGGATTCAAGTTCAGCCTCTTGCTGCCAGACCAGGTCCCGATGACTACACACTGTGAGGGGTAGCAGGTGATGGTTCCAGCGCTTGGATACAGAAGACACGGTCGAGTTCTAGACCCTGGCTTTAGACCTGGCTGCTGCAGCATCTGCAAAGTGCACCTGCAGTGCAACATCTATCAGGAATCACGGGTTCTAAGTGTCCTAATGCTAACCAGCTTTTAACCTACAAGAACTGTTTCAGCAGTGGCTGACTCACTCATCAAAGCCTGTAATGACTGTCTTACCGTCCTCCCCGCCTCTCCAGGCATGCATCTTTCACTTCCTGAAACCCCAGCACCCAAGCTCTCTTCCTCCTTGGTGCTCTGCAGTGACTATTTCTGCTGCCCAGCCCCAACCTCCCTGTCTACGAACAGTAGTCTCTCCCTGCCGTTGGTGCTTTAAATGCCAAGCTTCCTCAGAGACCTTTCTGGTCACCTGAGATACACACACAGACGCCCCTAAATCTCCGAGTCTAGTATTTTAATGTCACTATGTTCACAGCCCCTCCTTTACTCTCTACTCAATGAACTTGTCCATGGACCTGCAGTCTTACTAGCAGCACCATTTCCTCTGGTGACACCCTCCCTCACATGCAACGCAGTTCCAGTTCCAAAAAGACAAGAACCTTCTTTTTGGCATTTCACTTAGAGAGCTGGCCTACTGTGGGTGCTGAACAAAAACCGGTTATACACTGCGAATTATGTTGAATCTGGAGCTGCCCTGCCGACGCACGTGTGTCTGAAAGGAAGCTAAAAGCGACAGGCAGTGGTAAGGGAGGCCTCAGAAGATGCTCTACCCTGACACAGGAAGTGGTGATACTGGTGAGCCCTGGAAGGAGATTCGCATTTCATCTTTGCACGGAAGCAACAGTGCAATCTCCTCTGACATGAAACAACAGCACATCTCAAAGAACTCAACTCCTGACAGGAAGGGTCTGAGCCGTGTGAAGCAGAAAGCATGGCTTCCTATAACGCAAGACTGAAGTATAGGTCCTGACTGAATTCACTCCCAAGGGAAGAAGCAACACATTCTGATGCAAAGGGTCAAACCAAACACTGTAAAAATGCCAAAAACAAATTTCCCAAATACTGGGCAAAGCCCTGGAAGCAACTGAGGCGTGGAAGAAAAGGAACTTCTGCTTACAGAGGTCGGTCTCCTCGTCCCAACAGCTCCCACTGGGATGGGATGGTGGTGGAAGGTGGTGCCGGGCCATTTTATCCTTGCTCCATCTTCACTGCTCTTGGTCCAAGTCTTTCTCACAAAACCTTCTAGTTATGGTGTTGGCTCGCAGCTACGCCCCATGGAGGGGGAGAATCCACTGAAAATTAAATCCTGGCTTTCCAGCTTCACCTTTCAGATTCATGAGCTAGGGAAGTAACTTGCTTAGCACACAAATACTTGGGAGTTGTTCTCCCAACAAAAGGAAAGGATAGCCTAGAGTCAGAAGCTAAGAACTCAAGAAAGAGGCGAATCTAAGAAGCCAAGCATGATCAATTCCAAGGTCTCCAGTGTGCATTATTTGGGAATGACAGTAGACAGGTCCCATTTAGGACAGGTGGATTCCAAGCTGCCTGAAGAGCAGCCAAGAGACGCCATAGGCATTTGGCCATCCGAGGCTAGAGATCAGATTTGGGATTCTAATTCTGCAAACATGCAGATGGGAAAAAAACGAATCATTCAGTGACGAGATAAGGACATGAGGTAAGCAAGCAGCCTGTGGAACCTTGAGAAAAAAGGTGAGTATCAGCAGCTAACAGGAGCTAGTACTGGGGGGCAGTGGGTTAAGCTGCCACCTGCTACATCAGCATTCCATATGGGCACTGTGAACACGTGTATCTCCCTTCGCCTATCTCTCTGCCTCTTTCTCTTTTTTGTGCCTTTCAAATAAATTTAAAAAAAAAATTTTTTTTTTCTTTAATTGCTAACAGCCAAGGCCCAGCCCCAAGCCCAGACCGGGAATCTCATGTGGCTATCAATGACCCAGCTACCTGAGCCACTGCATACTGCCTCGGCGGGTGTACACTAGCATTAAAGCAAAATCTAGAAGGATGCAGGGGCCCAAACCCACCTGTTACTGTACAAGATGAGTGTGTCCCAAGGGGCATTTGAGTACTGCACCATTGGTCTGCCCCTTACATCTGTCATTTTTTTCAGACAAAATGTCAACTTTTAAAGCTAACAGAGGGCCCGGCAGCATGGCCTAGTGGCTAAAGTCATAGCCTTGAATGCTCCGGGATCCCATATGGGCACCGGTTCTAATCCCAGCAGTTCCATATCCTGTCCAACTCCCTGCCTGTGACCTGGGAAAGCAGTCAAGGACGGCCCAATGCTTTGGGACCCTGCACCTGTGAGGGAGACCCGGAAGAAGTTCCTGGATCCTGGCTTCGGATCGGTGCAGTACCAGCCATTGCACTCACTTAGGGAGTGAATCATCAGACAGAAGATCTTCCTCTCTGTCTCTCCTCCTCTCTGTATATCTGATTTTGTAATAAAAATAAATAAATCCTTTTTTAAAAAAATAAAGCTAACAGAAAAACAATTTGCTTATCATTTAAGTTACTGAGAAAATAAAGTTTTTTCAGAATACTGAGCAGTGGCTCCCGGGCAGGAAGGAAAGCAGCGAGACACAGCGCTCAGAGTTCCTGCTAGTCTACAAGTGCAGTAACGTCAGGTTGAAGAAAACAAATACTCTTTAAGGACAGATTCTAGAATTTTAATCCTTGCCAGAGTCTGAAGTCCAGGGTGAACTCAAGGCAGAGATGCAATCTCCAGAGTGCATTCTAGGGAGTTACACTGGCTTAGAGACAAACCACACACGACTCTCCGCCCTCAGGTCTGCAGCGCCTCGGAGCTCTTCTCCCAGCTATGTCACAGAACTGATCAGTGTGTTGGAACACCTGCTTATAGGGTTGCTGTCCTCAAGAAACGCTTATAACATTTGTTTTTAGCAAAGCTAAATTGGCTTCTAGAACATTTCCAAACATCACAGTTTATACAACTTTTTTGAGGGAAAACCAGACAACTCCAT